AAAAAATCAATTTTTTTTATATTTAATTATAAAAACGTTTGATGACCCGACCCAAAATTTTCGAGTCAATCTGACAGTATAATGATTATAACTCACTAATAATTACCAAGTTACTCTAGTTAAATTAAAAAAATAAAATAATTTAGATATAAATAAATCTTGATAACATTTTAATCAAATAAAATATTTACCATTATTTTCACAAGAATTAATATTTAATTCTTCAATGTTTCGCTTAGTTCCAAGTGAGTCAAGTCTACTACTAATATAAAATTGTATTTTGTTGAAGATTTCGTTGTTGGATTTAAATTATAAATTACTTATCAAATATTTTTAATTTTAAAATACCTTTTAATGTCTATATCAAATTCTAATTCGTTTGAATTGTAATCTATAAAAAAGAAATTTAATTTATCTATCAAAGATGACTTTTATTAAAATAGCATAGTACATACCATTTGATGAAAAATTGATAGATGAACATTTAGAAAACATAGATGAACATTTAGAAATGTAAGAACTTAATAATCTACTTGTATAAATAGCTTTTGGATGAGGCTTTTCACTAAACTTAGGTCCAAGCTTCTTTGAATCTATTAACTTTTTCCTTTTTAATTCAGCTTGATCAAATTGATCATCGTTAAATCGATAATACCATCTACAACAAATACTCTCAATGACACTTATAGAAGGTCTTTTTTTGGGATCAGGGTCCCAACAACTTTTCATTAAATTAGCATAACATGCTGGTGTATCTTCTGTAATTTCAGGTCGTGCACCATCAATAATTTTGATAATTAGATCAATACCATGTTCAACATTAGCAAAAGGCTTACAACCCGTTGTAAGTTCCCACATAATCATACCCAGACTATAAATATCAGATTCTTTAGAAAATGCAGACCCCATAAATATTTCTGGTGCAATATAAGGTATCACTCCATAAATTTCATTATTCAATAAGGTATCATTTACAGGTTGTGATAGTCCTAGATCTCCGATTTTACATTGGCATAAATCATCGCGCAAATCACGTCGTATCAACAAATTTCCACTGTGTAAATCTCGATGTATGAATCCATTATTATGAATCTCCCGAAGCCTAAAATAATAAAAATTAATAAATTTGTATTATAAATCAATCATTTGCCAATATGTTTAAAATTTAAATACCCATTTATAGTAAAATATATAATAAATGCTTTTTTTCTCCAATCAATTTCTGTAAAGTTATTTTGTAGATACTTATATAAATCTCCACTTGGAGCATATTCCATAACTAATAAATAATTATCTAAACTATCTAATCGAGGATCTTTTGTAAAACCATAAGTTTTAATCACCATATTAGGTTCAGAAACTCTGCCATAATCTGTATAAGTATGATGATTCGTCTTTAACTATAAATTTCAAGATTAAAATTTAAAATATTTACAAAATAAAATACAAATTTTTAATAATTAAGTATTTACCTCTCTTAAAAAATATTCTTTAGCATATTGAGAATTTTTAAATCTTTTTAAAATGAAAGTATTTTTATGTTCCTTTTCAACCTCAAAATGATATTTTATACCATATAACAAAGTTGCTTGATATACGATACTAAATCCTCCTTCTGCTATTTTTTTTACATTCGTAAATTGAGAATATGGTATATATTTCATTAAATTCCCTGATTGTCCGCGTTTTAAATTATCATAACATATTTTGTTTGGAACGAAATATTTACCAATATTTTTTATAGCGTCAGTAAATTTAGCTATTTCCGATTGATATGATCTTATACTAACAAGAAAATCATCTAAAACACTATTCCCACAGTTAATACTAATAATCTTTTTGCTATCTAGTATAATAGTTGATACTCTCTTGCATTTTTTACATTGTGATTGATTTGTAATTCCAAAAATAATATTTGTCGTTAAACAATATCTACATCCAATAAAAAATATGAAACAATGCTTACAATACTTTTGACAGTTTGATGTAAATACTAGTAGTTAATTACAATAACAATCAGAACTATTTTCCCACCATGGTAAATAAATAATTGAAATAAGTTTTTTAGTTAAGGTTGATTCTATACATCCAGAAGAAATTAGATAACAATCTGAACACAATTTAAATTCCTTCATAATACAGAAATCTGTTCCTTGATATAATAATTTTCCACATAGTTTACAATATTTTTCACTTTCAATCACTTGAAAACAAAACCTAATATTGCCGATTATTTGATTAAAATATGATATTGTCAAACAATTTCTACAGCATTCTTGAATATTTCGGGGTACTTTTGTTTTACTTATTTCATGTTCATTACATTCCAAGTCCTTTGTGAATAAGTGTACGTCCAAGTATATTTCATTATCGGTTATATTAGTTAAATAACACGATAAACAATTTTTACAATACATTTGAAACAAAATATTCGTTTCTGTGTATTGTTCTCCACAATGAAAACAATTTATATTATTCATATTAAAAGAAACAAAAAAAATTGGTACGGGACTAGATTTTAGTTTTGGTGTTGGATCAAAAGAATTTTCATAATTTAATTTTACAAGTTCCATTTTATAATATTACAGTATAAGCAAGTATAGAAAATTCAACAAATTTATAGTTTTTCAAAAATTTTTATATAATGAACCTCTGAATAGAATATAGAATTTTCTTTTTCTGTCGGTGAATTCGCCTTAGTACTACGGAAAATTCGGTTGTAGTGCAAAAATGCATGCATGTTTATCCCTATTTGGTTTTTTTTTGTACTTTATTAATTCAAAATACACAGGTACAAAGAACGCCCTGGTACATTCCACCAATAAAAACTTATCTAATGCAGACCCAAACAACATGATAAACGGAAAAATAAATACAAAAAGGAAAAGAAAAAGAAAAAAATAACTTCTAAACTTCGATTATGCAGGAAAGCATGATCAGCATGCATAACTTCTCATGACTTTCCATCATTATGATGACACATCATTTTTCACATAATTTCATCATGTGATGAATAATCTTAACAGTTAATATTTCCGCGCTACGAATTAAAATTGAGGATTTACCGATTTTCAGTGTTTTCGCTATATTTATATTTTATCGCATTCATAAAATTTTTATCAAATCGATTATTCGATTTATTTTGACATGTAAAAATATGAACAGATAAATTTATCGAAAAAAAAAAAAAAATAGTTTATTAAAAAAGAAATTAAAGAAACTCTAAAGAATCCAATTTTTATTAAAAAGAAAAATTTAAAGAACCGATCCTTAAAAACAAAAATTAAGGAGCCCAATTTTTTTTATGGAAAATAAAGAATCCGGTTTACGTATTTAATTATTTTTTAAGTAAATTAATTTGATAAAAAGTGGTGTTAAAAAATTTAATAAAATACATTACGTGTGTACATGACTTTTTATGATAAATTAATAAATCCAAATAATTTAATACAAAAATTATTAATGTTATTATAAAAAAAGTAATTTAAAGATATAGAAAATCACGTGATAATTTATTATAAATCAGTGTGGCAAATCGTATTGCTAATTTTCTGTGTAATATAAACTTTTGTAATACTTAACATAGAAGGATAAAACTTGTATGGTTAGAAAGCCACGAACTGGGAGAATGTTTTTTTGATTTAAAAAATCATTATTACTTAATGACCTTTTTCAAAAACCTTCGTATGAAGTTGCGAATGGGCTTTTTTTTTGCGAATGGGCAAACAGGACTTTTACTGGCTTCCCAGTTACTGGCGTCGACTCATTAAAAGAACATGTAACACCTTAGTTTTTTTTGTTGAAAGCGTTACAATTTCAAATATATTCGTATGTATTTAGCTAATAAAAAAGTCAAAATATTCTAAAGGAAGAATTTTATTGTACAAAATTATTTTAAAATATTTATTATAAACATTTTACTTTTTACGCGTCCAATAATACCACGAATCCACAATAGCTCTTTCCTTTGCTCCTTCTTTGAGTCCAATTATGAACATACTCATTGACAAGGTTTGTGCATTTGGTGAAGAATAGTAAAGTGATATTTTTTGTTCTATATAACCACGCACTACCAAATCTGCAAGCATATAGCTTGTCAATTCTTTCGGTTTTCCAAATTTTGGTTTTCTACCGCTTTTATACACTTTCAACTCAGTCATGCCTGATTCTCAGATTTTTTTTGTATTTGATTTACAAAAAACTTCTACTATATCATCTTCAATAATTTCATAATTACCACCATCATTTATTTCTTCAACAGTGTCCAACAAATGAAGAATATCCTCTACACAATTTTCATAAGTAGGCTGTTCTTTAATCCGATTTCTACAATTATCACATTTTAAACAAGGTGAAGAAACATTATCTCCATTCCAAAGATAATAGCGATTAATTATTTGACTTCGGCATTCATATTGGTTTCGGCAAAATAAAAGAACTTCGTGTATCTTGTGTACACTGATATCAAGGTAATGTTTTCGTTCACGTTCTTGATCAGTCATATTTTGAACATTAAAACAACTATTTAAAATACAATTAATAAGATTTCAGTTTAATTTTCTTTGTAATTCTTTATTACAAATTTATTAAATGACTCACGTTTCCCGATTTTCAGACAAAATTCCAAAATTTGTTCTAAAGTCTTTCTTTATTGAATAAAATATCACACTTTTAGCTTCATTACCATTACGCCCTGCTCGTCCAATTTCCTGTATCAAATTTGCTATATACAAACAAAAAAATATGTTGAGAAGATGTGTAAAGATGATTATAACATAATTACTCACTCATGTTTAAAGGAGCTACACAATGTATTACTAGGTAAACATCGGAAGAATTAACACCCATGCCAAACGCATTTGTCCCAATCATTATTTGAATTTTTCCATCTTTCCAATGCGATATAATAATTTGACGTTGTTCATCACCTATTCCTCCATGATATACACCTAAACTTTTATCTGGTAATAGTGGTTGCAAAGTTGCAAAGAGATCATCACATCCTGATTGTGTTGCGCAGTAAATAATTATTCTACCATTTTCGTGATTTTTAATTAAATTTATAAGATCATTTGAAAAATTTTCACGATTATCTCTTCTTTTATAAACCTCTATAGTTATTTCTTTGCGCTCAAAAGAAGAACCTCGAATCATAGCAAAATTTGTTGATTGTATTTCAAGAGATGTGCGGATATCTTGAGCATCTTTATAAGTGCATGTAGCAGTCAATAGCATGATAGGAACTGTTGACCAATTTTTTTTTAATATTCCTAAATTTTTCCACGATTCTCTATTAAAAATAAAATATTAGATTATTACTTCGAACTAACAAGATATTCTTCGTAAGTAGCTTACCTAAAATTACTATAATTTAATATACAGTGAGCTTCATCAATCACGAAGCGCACTTTTGCCTTATCATACATGTTACTAATAAAATTTTGAAATTCCCTATTTAAACAAAGTTTCTTGGGAGTGATAAATAATATTTTCGTAAACCCAAGGGCAATTTCTTCAAATATTTTCTCTTGTTCACTTCTTCCTTGTATTGTATTTGCATAAATTGATGCGCAGGGTATACCGAGTTGTATTAATTCTCGCTATTAAAATTAAACAAATGTAACCATGTAAGTAAAAATTAATAATTGCAACTGACAAATAATAACTTACTTTTTGGTCTTCTATCAAAGCTTTTAACGGGCTAATAACTATTGTTATTCCTTCAAAAATTAGCGCACAAATGACATAACATAATGTCTTTCCTCCTCCTGTTTTGATTGATACAAGTGTATCTTTGCCATTTAAGTATGCCTCTATAGCTTCAAGCTGTCCTTCACGCAAATGATCGAATCCAAATATTTTTTTTGTGGCTAATTTTATTAATTCCTTCAAATCCAAAATATTTTTCTCACTGCTAGGAGTATAATTTTTATTCAACAAGCAATCCCACCAACCTGCTGAGATATAAAAGGAGCACAAAGAACATAAACCAGATACAGTTTTCTTTCGAAATGCAGAACATCCTTGGCACTTGATAATTACATCAAAATCTGGAATTAATTTCGCAAATGAAGGATAGAATGAATTTGAACGTATTCTTTTCTCTGCTTTGTACTTGTAAGGAATCAGTTCCTGTATACAAAAGCGTATTATATTAAAAAATAGAAAAATTACAATTAAATAGACTTTAGCCAACCTGGCTAAAATCAAATCCTTGTAGTTCTTGCCGATCATTAGCATAATTTTTAGCAAGTTCTTGATTTCGTTTATCTATAGCATTTCGATTACAATTCATTTGACTTTGACGTTCTCTAGTCAACTTGCTTATATTATATTGATCATTTACACTGAATTTATTCACTTTTGCAGCTTCGCGTACACCCTCCATCATACAGTCAAGCCCTTCGTTATTATCTATAACAGCTAAAGCATGCCGTGCCTTGTAAGAAGCCCAAAAATCAATCCTTTTATCAGTAAATCGTAAGATTTTTCTATTAAAAGCCTCATTATAAGCTGTTCGGTAATGAGTAACAAGACTCTGCTGTATAGGAAGTTTAAAAATTGTCAAAAGCATTTGTCAGAATCCTTCAATCTCTGTTTTTGTAAAAGATTGTAATGTTGGAGCTTGCAGTTGTAATTCTTCGTTCTCCTTATACCAACAAACTTCTTTCCAGCAAAGATCATGATTATTAAGAAGATGTTGGATTAAGCCTTCTACTTGAATGTAACGCAATTCTTCATTTGTTGGTGCATTTGGATCATTATTTTTTTTTCGCAAGCCAGCGGTAAACACACATCCATTAAAGTATCTCATAATATGTTGTTCAAAATTGTGATAACGTGCATATTGTTTTTTTACTATTGCGAAACAATATAAAGTATGTAAAATATCAATATTATTACTTTTAACAAATTAAAAATAAATAAAATAACTACTAAAATAAATTTTTTCGGATATTTTTGCTTGCATGCTTGAGGTCCGCATAAATTTCTGACACAATAGGAACGTTGGCTAAAGTTTTATTGGAATCCAAATCTCCATCAATGCAAACTTCAAGTAAAAGATCAGATTCTTCTAATATTGGAATTATTTGTTCCAAAAGTGCAATTAAAATTGCATGCTCCATCTGGCGAGAACTGGCATCAAAATTGCCTTGATGTATTACAACTTTTTCTTCAGAAGTTCCATCTTTTCCTTTTTTAGTGGTTATACGAGATTTTTCTACTACATGAAAAGCAACAACGGCTTTGTGTCCGTAACCTTATATAAATAGAAATAAAATTAATTAAATTGATAAATAATCAAATTTTATTTATATGAATTTACCTTCAAGCTCCTCTAAATAAATAAATTCTCCACTTGCTTGTTTTGCATTACGAGAGTGGGACCAAGAACAGTCAAATCCAATAGTTAAAGCTTTTTTCCCCTCTGTTAAAGTATGGGTTATAGCAGCTTTTAACGCTTGTTTAGTAGACTCTTCAGCTTTTAATATAAGGGCAGGAAACATCCGAGATTGATATTGATGATAAGAACTTTTACAACTCTGAGCAGTAATACCCATAACTGCTAATGCAGCTTGCATAGCATAATGATTCATTCCACCTGCCAAAGTTGATGCCGCAACTAGATGTGAAAAATTGGTTCCTTTAGATTGATTTGAGTACGAATCTATTGTACCACATAGTTGGCAATCTAAATCAATTGCAACATTAAATCCAGCGCAAGATACATGATATGACTTTTTTTGAAAATCGGTATTACAACAATGACTACAAGGATGCGAAAGTACTAAAGAAAGATATTGTTCTGTACTAACTAATATCGTTGATCCCAATTTCTTCTCATCTAAAATTTTATTTACTGCCTTTTTTATTCTTTCAGATTTTTCATTTAAATCAATTTCACTATCCAAATCAAAATTTTCACGGTTGAGTTGATCAATTTTAGTTTTTAGCCGTTTGATACTGCGATTAGCATTATAACATGTTGATTTGTATTTTTCGTGCATTACCATAAGAGCCTGTGTAAACTTTGGAGAAAGGTTTTTTCCATCTTCTTCCAATTTAATTCCATGAATAACTGAATCTTTTTCACAAAGTTGCTCAAGTTCAACACTTTTTCGTTTAAGATTACGAACCAAAGTCTCTTCTTTTAAAATGGTTGTTAAAGGCGATTGAAAATTTGAATTTTGACAAAAACGATGGGAAAAAATCTTATGAACTGTATTTTGTAACATCGTTACAATTGTAGGTTCATTAAATCCTAAAGCTGAAACAACTGAAATATTTTTTATATTATATTGTTTTATCATGAGATAAAATCCTAGTGTTTCCCGGCCTTGAGCTTTACAGCTAGTAAATGTGAAGTCTTTCCCAAATTCTTGCCAAAAAAATTGCAAAGAATCTTCATTTCTTTCAATAGAAAGTTTGAAATATAAGCCGCCCAAAGAAGTATATATGACATAACCTGGCAGTAACGGCACCCAAGAACTTTCGTCAAGAATATTATTATGCAAGTGCATATAACCGACACTCATATTTTTTTGTTGAGTTTTTTCAAGTTCATTATAGAAGTTTTTTGGTATAGAAAATTCTGACAGTTCTTTATGAAGTGGTAATACTTCGAAATTAAAAGAGAAGTCAACTACAAATCTGCTTCTATTTATTCTTTGATAACTCTGACATTTGGAAGGGTTTTTTTGGACGATAAGGTCATACCAGTTACGTGTCATATTGTTATATGTCAGTCAGTTAGTGTATAGGATAAACCTGTTGAAAACTTGATTTTTTTTAGACGCGTTAATTGAGTTGATCTGTGTACCCGGTTTTCGGAACCTCATGTGATCAACAAAAATTTGCCACTGCGCATATATAAAAAATGATCGACATACACTATATCTTTAAAGCATATGTAAAATTAATTTGCTAAATTTGAAAAAAAAATGAGTTTCAAATTTTGACCCAATAAAAAAGTCGATCCGACGCCCCGTGCTAATTTTTAAGTCAGCACAAATTTTGGTCGTACCACAGCTTGATTTATTTACTGATTCTCTCTGTGACAATCGAATAATTATTGTGCAATCGACACATGCATTATGATTAACTCTCGTACGCTGATCATTAAGCAGCTCTCATATGTTCAGCATTCCCTAAATTCAAATAATATATAGGTGCTTGATGACCATGTAGATAATTTTTCACTTCAATTTTTTTCCTATGTTAACAAAAGTGAGGTGCCAGTCCCGTCTTACCAAACATAATTTCAAATCCAGGGATGTTTGATCATCTGCAAATTATTAGCTAATCCTTTTGAAACATTTTATCACATGATTCATTCCTATTCTGATCAAATAATGATTTGATACTAGTATTATTATGTGAAAACTATTGTGCAACATTACATTTTTTTATTTTTTACTTTTAAATTCTAATAATGAGATTATAGGATACCTTAAGGAGTAAAAAAAAAAAATTTCGGAACAATTAAAAATACACAAACTCAAATGGAATGAAACACAATATGAACCTTCAAATTCGTTTATAATTTTCTTTTATTAAAAATTATTTTTGACTCTTTTTAAATAAAAATTACAGCAATGCTACAAAAATATTTTGTTTATATTACATTATGGTTTTTATTCCAATTTATATTAATTGAAATAAATTGCCTAAATGCGCCTTATACACTAAAGAAACGAGATGAACATACCGCAACGCTTGTTGATAATAAATTGTATATTTTGGGTGGGTCCTTACTTAATGAAGTTGGAAAAGATTTTTTTTATATCGATTTTTCTGTTTCATTTAATATTCAAAATTTATTATTGATCGATTTATCAAACATTAATACTGTCCCTTCACACTTTGGTGCTGCGTCTGCGAGGGGTGGTGCAAATAATGATACATTATTCATATGCGGAGGAATCGGAAATGTCACAGTTGATAAAGTTGAATTGGTTTACTCCTTTAACCTAAAAAGTAATTCATGGAGTATTCCAAAAATAACTGGTCAATCTCCCATTAGTTTATTTGCTGCTGAGACAGGAATTATAAACTATAATGGAATGATGTATTTCTGGGATGGAATTGTATCAAACGTTAATATTTTAGACACTATAAATTTAATTTGGAAAAAAGGAAGTTCGATCGGTGCACCAAAAGGTGGATTAGGTAGCGCTGCTACTTTATTGCCTGATAATAAAATAATTTATATGGGTAAGCAAGCAACTTAATAGTTCTTTATGATCCTAATATTATTAATATATTCATACTTCATCATTTTATTTACTTGTATAATTAGGCGGTATTGGTGATAAATCAACATTAATGAATCTGGTAAATTGTTGATTTTTTTTTTGCTTTGAATCGAAAAATAATTTCAATAAATGTTCTTCAGCTTGATACGTTGAGATTTTTAAAACATTAAAATTATATAATTTTGAATATATATTTATTTTACAAACAATAATTTGTGTACTGATATTAAAAAATTTATTTATATAGGTTTACATATATGACACAATAAATGATTTTTGGAGTACGAAAGTAAGTTGATAAAATTTATTAATTAACAATTTAAAAAATTTTACTACCAAACATTTTCATTCTTTTAATAAATACAGATAACTTCAGGAACTATACCTCCTAATAAAATTGGTTCAACTGCCGTTCTTGGTGTGTATTAAATAATATCATTATTAGACATTCGGCATTTTAAAATTAAGTTATAATTTTATTTTAATAGGACTAGATGGCCAAAGAGTAATTGTTTTTGGAGGTATTCCAACTGCTGATATTGCTAATGCACCTAAAATTCCACTTTATGAATTAAATCTGATAACTTTTGAATGGCATATTCCGAAAACTTCCGGATCAACTCCAGCATCCCGAGAGAATCATAGAGCAAATGTAATTGGAAATTATATGGTGATAACATTTGGTAAATATGCTTTTAATTATTTCTATTTAGTTTTAATTAATATGAACTTAACAAATATATGATGATCTTCAATAGGAATATTTTATTCTGAACCTGAAAATGACATTTTATTACTTGATATTAGTAATGTCGACGAATATATATGGACGAATGAATTTAATCCTTCATCAAGTATTGTAAAATCGTCACTACCTACAGTGCCCACAATACCTACAAAACCGTCACCTTTACCAACAATTTCTTCGCAACAATATATATCAAGTAATAATTCAAATATTGTTGGCGCAATTATAGGATCTTTGATTGCTGGTGCTTTATTATCCTTTGTAGGCTCCTATTTATACAAATGGAATAAAAATAGAAATAAAGATGGGAGTAATCTTAACGATAATCAAGCTAATACTAATAGTCAAGCTAAAAGAAATTATTATCCTGGACAAGAAGCAGTACAACCACCCGCTCCAGCTTCAGTTATTGATAGGAGCTATTATCATGGACGAGAGATTCCTAATAACGAAATACAAGAACTTAAACAAGAGATTCATGATTTGAGACAAATAATTTTGCAAAGTAATAAACAGTCTACTAGTTCTATGGGAAATAATTAAATACTATATGCATAATAATTTGAATAGTAAGCCAATCATTTTTAAGAATTATATATAATTACGACTCTTGTAAAGAGTATATAAACTTTAAGAAAATTCATTTTCTATTTGTATTTTATTTGTTAAAAAAAATATTGATATTAAAATTTATTCATTATCTCCGGGTTACATTTATTTAGAAATTAATATTTATTTAAGGTAAATCCACAGTAGAACTTTTATAAAATATTTTCATCTTTTTAGAAAAATAAATATATTTATACAAGTAACCATTCCTCTTTTTTTATAATCGTTAATATTTTGTGACGATGTGATAAATGATTATTTTGTGACTAATTTATTCTGGTAAAGAATAAAATCTTAATTCCTTTTTTCGGTACATACGGTAACGGTAATATCACATTGCTTTACCGACGCGGCGACACCTTGATTCTATTTGTGTAACAATATAATAAATAAACTGTTTTAGCTGTCTAAGAAGTGTTACAACATAAATATTTTAATTCCATTAAAATAATTACATCTTAATAGTTTAAAAAATACCGAATTCCATCCGTTTTAGAATACATACCAAGAATTTTTATATAGATGCCATGCTTCTCTTTTCGTTGTTTCTAAATCAAAGTTTCTTAGCAACAAAGCGGCGACCAATAAATGAATTACTAGTGGATTTATATTGAGAAAAAAGATTTGTCAAGATGATTTACTCTTAGCTGAAAGTCAGAAAATATGGACTTGATCACACAACTAATACGAAAAAAATGTTTGATACCTTTAACTTTTTTTGCTGTTTATTAATAAATGATTATTGCTAAAAATTACATAAAGATTTTTAATATACTATAAATGGAAACAGCGTAGATGATTAGCAAATAATTTGTTATCTTAACATTACTTCCTCCTACTTCATATTCAACATTTTTCTATTGAGTCAAATAATATCTACGTTTCAATTTTTTTAAAAAAATGATCGGCATAAAATTTTACTCAATGAAAAATGACCACATATGGTTTTCCTTATTCAGTAAAAGTACATTTAGAAATGCCCAATCAAATAACCATATCTGCCGATCTGTCCTGATTTATATGACTTTCGGCCCGAATAAATCTCTTTTCTGGAATTCTACTTTAAATTTCGTATTTCGTACAAAACTTTGATTTTTCTGCTAATTTGGATTAATTATTGTAATTTAAACAAGTCTCATGAAGAAAAACCTAATAATTCATCACATACTAATGAAGAACTAAGTATGGAATGTAAGAAATGTAATCATGAATGCTACACAGTTCGGTTTAAACAAAATTTTAAAAATTGGACTAGTGGTAACAATGACATTGACAAATTTATTCAAGGTACTCAGTTATCAGTTCATGATAATCATAGTAATATAAAAGAAGCATTAGAATGGATACCTTATAATAGATTATATAATATTAAAAATATTGCAGTGGGCGAATTTGATAAAATGCATAGAGCAAAGTGGGTTGATGGATATATAAATGGATGGAGTAACTATAATCAAGATTGGATAAGAAGTAAACAAAATATGTCTGTAGTTCTGAAAATATTAAATAATCCAGCAAATGTCACATCAGAATTTATAAATAAGGTAAAGTTGATTTATTATTTAATGACATTTTTAATCTCTAATTTTTGTTTATTATATTTGTAGAATATTACAGTGTCTCATAGAATTTATGGAATATCTCAAGATCCAGAAACTAAGAATTATATAGTGGTTTGGAATGAGATATGTGAAAAATGTAATTGTATATGTTTTAAACAAAATTTTGAAAATTGGACTAGCGGTAACAATGATATTGATAAATTTATTCAAGATACTCAATTATCAGTTCATGATAATGATAATAATATAGAGGAAGCATTAGAATTGATACCTTATAATAGGTTGTATAATATTAAAAATATTGCAGTGGGCGAATTTGATAAAATGTATAGGGCAAAGTGGGTTGATGGATGTATAAGTGGATGGAGTAACTATGATCAAGATTGGATCAGAAGTAAACAAAATATGAATATGTCTGTAGTCCTGAAAATATTAAGTAATCCAGCAAATAATGTCACATCAAAATTTATAAATAAGGTAGGGTTGGTTTATTATTTAATGACATCTTGGAATCTCTAATTTTTAGAATTGATGTGTTTATTATATTTGTAGAATATTACAGTGTTTCATAGAATTTATGGAATATCTCAAAATCCAGAAACTAAGAATTATATAGTGGTTTGGAATGAGATATGTGAAAAATGTAAATGTATATGTGATGCAATACGTTTTAAACAAAATTTTGAAAATTGGACTAGTGGTAATAATGATATTGATAAATTTATTCAAGATGTTCAGCTATCAGAACATACTATCCATAAAGAATCAAAAGTATTAGAGTGGATACCTTATGACAGATTTTATGATATTAAATATAGTATTACAATAGACAAGTTTGACAAAGTATGTAGAGCAAAATGGATTGATGGATACATACTTAATTGGGATATCTATGGTCAAAACTGGGAAAGATTCGAACAAAATATGTCTGTATTTATGAAAATTTTAATTAATCCAGCAAAAATCACATCAGAATTTGCAAATAAGGTATAGTAGATCTATTATTGAATGATATTTTAAAATCTATAACTTCTATTTGGAATTGATGTGTTTATTATATTTGTAGACCTTTATTAAAGTACCTCATAAAGTTTATGGAATAACTCAAGATCCAGAAACTAAGAATTATATGGTGGTTTGGAATGAAATATGTAGAAAATGCAATTATATATGTAATGCAATACGTTTTAAACAAAATTTTGAAAATTGGTCTAGTGATAGCAATGGTATTGATAAAATTATTCAAAATGCTCAATTATCAGTGCATAGTATGTATAATGTATTTGTAGAAGCATTAGAATGGATACCTTATAATAGAATCTATGATATTGAGCATATTACAAAAGGCGGATTTGATAAGATGTATAGAGCAAAATGGATTGATGGATATTTATATAGATGGGATAACTGTAATCATAAATGGGAAAGAAAACATCAAAATATGGTTATAATACTTAAAATTTTTAATAATCCAACTAACATTATGTTAGAATTTATGGAGAAGGTATAATACATTCATTATTTATGATATTTGTAAATTTCAATATTTATTAATTTATTATATTATAGCCTAGTCTACATCTTGAAGTTTTTGGAATAACGCAGGATCCAAAAACAAAAAATTATATAATGGTTTTGAATGATAAATGTGAAAAATGTAATCGTATATGTAGAGCAAAATATTTTCAGCAAAACTTCAAAAATTGGAGTAGTGGTAATAATGATATTGATGAATTTATTCAAGAAACTCAGCTTTCAAATTGTTATGCAAACAATGCATTAGAATGGATACCTTTTGATAGATTTTATGATATTAAGTATATTGCAAAAGGTGGGTTTGGTAAAGTATATAGAGCAAATTGGATTGATGGATGTATAGATAAATTGGATAACTACGATCAAAATTGGATAAGATATAATCAAAATATGTTTGTGGCTCTTAAAAGCTTAAATAATTCAAAAAATGTTACATTGAAATTTATGAACGAGGTATAAAATTTATTATATAATGAAAGTTTTAAGATAAAAAATTATTAGTACTGATATTTATTTGATTTATAGATTACATTACATTATAAAGTAAATCTGGATAGTAGGTGTATTATTAAACTATATGGAATAACTCAAGATCCAGAAACAAAAGATTATATTATGGTTTTGGATTATGCTGAGAATGGAAATTTGCGAAATTATTTAGATGCAAATTATAATGAATTGAATTGGAATAATAAAATTAATTATTTACATAGCATTGCACATGGACTTAAAGATATTCATGAAAAAGAATTAATTCATCGAGATTTACATATTGGTAATTTACTAAGGCTCAAAAGTATTACTTGTATAACTGATATGGGATTATGTAAACCTGCAGATTATGATGTATCAGAATATACAAAAAATAGTATATATGGCGTTTTATCATATATGGCTCCTGAAATTTTACGGGGCCAAAGCTATACCAAAGCAGCAGATATTTATAGTTTTGGTATGATTATGTATGAAGTAATTTCTGGATTACCTCCATATCATAATATGAGTCACGATAATAATTTAGCAATAAAAATTTGCCAAGGGTTTAGACCAAGATTTAACAATAAAGTACCTCAATTGATTGTGCAATTAATTAAAAGATGTTTGGATGCAAATCCATTAAATCGACCAAATGCAGAAAAAATTAAACGACTTTTAAGTCAATGGTTTAGAGAATCATCTGAATTAAAAAATCATAATGTTTATACAGAACTTACAGAACTACAAAAGCAAATTATAGAATCAGAGAAAAGCAATAATAATTTATCAATCAGTAATGAATTTTCAGTCAATTTAGGAGCATCATATGAAACACATTCTGAAGCTATTTATATCAGTAGATTACTTAATCTTAGTAATCTTCCTGTACCAAAGAATTCTTATGATTATTATGAAGAGAATGATAATATAATTAGCATGGAATCATCAGGTATTGATTAATAAAAGAGTATTTGAATTAATTGTAAAAAAATATACTAATCAACTTTAATTACTAGTATCTTTGTCTCTACAAAAGTTACAAATTGATATTTCTTAATTTAACGTTAATGAAATGGAATTTATATTTATAATGTCCTTTTTTTTCTTAATATTTTTTTTTTTTATTATTAGATCAGAATAGTAAAATAAATATGGAATTGAAGTAATTTCTTTTGATATTTAATTACTGAATTTTATATTGTCTTGTTCATCATTGTCCAGATATATACCGTACTGCACTGCTTAAATCACCCCCCTTTGAGAATACTCACGTCAAAAGACCCGGATACAATATACGGCTTAAAAATGTTAATTCTGGTAGAATAAATCTAATTTTGGCCATGTATCTCACAAAATACCCACGGGTATCATGCAATTTAAAATCAAGTGTTTTGTATTATACCTAAGTATCTTAAGCAGTGCGGTACGGTACGGTATACACACTATACACTATGAAAAATTATCTATCGCGTGAATTCTGTCCTCATGTGACGTTATCCAATGAAATCGTAAATTTCTTTTTTTGCTCCGGACTTATACCGGTTTCCATATCTTAGTTATAGTTTAAAAATCTAAATAACATTAGTCTGTGTAAAGGTCTTAAGAATATTTACTAATTTATTGTTTATTTTATTACAATTTAAAAATGAAGTTTTTCTTCCAATAATTAACTGTAATATTTTTTTTTTTAATTCTTCTCTTTAAAATAAAATTTATACTTTATAAAAATTATTTTATAAAAAGTTTCTTATATTGCTAATTTGTCGTACACTGTTCTAGTGCATAATGTACTAAGCAAACGCAACTCTCATTTTTATGTCGAGCATTTCTAAATTCAAGAAACATATAGAAACTTGCAAAGTGATTATATTTGGACATAATTTAATCATTTTAATTTTTTTCCTACGTCAATTACTTTATTTCACTCATATATAATTTCTGGGGACTTAATTTCAAATCCAGGGATGTTGATCATCTGGACTCTAAACCTGAAAAATGCACTTTATCACATGATCCATTCCTATTCCGATCAAATAATGATTTGATACTAAAAAAAATGTGCAACGTTGCATTTTTTTTTATTTTTTTTTATTTCAAAAAATTCAAAAGAAAATTTATTGTTGATTGTACAATGTTTGCTTATGGTTATCATTCACTTTAAATAGTTAGTAGTACACATAACAAAGTTAACAACGTAATTATAGGATACCTTTTCACTTTAAAGCGAATTAAAAAAAAATTTCTACAAAGAGCAGAAATAGAACAAATGAAAGCGTATAATGAGTGAATTGGTATGTATGTCCATAAGATTTAACTTTTACCTTTTTTTTTATAATTCAAAATTATTCACGAGAGGTCTACAATCTTATCGTTGATAATTGTGAGAAAAATGCACAAACTCAAAATGGAATGTAACACAATTTGTAATGAATATATAACTTCCAAATTCGCTTATAATTTTCTTTTATTAAAAAAATATTTTTTGACTCATTTTAATAAAAATTACGGCAATGTTACAAAAGTATTTAGTTTATATTATATTATGGTTTTTATCCCAATTATTAATTGAAATAAATTGTCAAGAAACACCTTATGTACTAAAGAAACGAAATGAACATACCGCAACGCTCATTGATAATAAATTGTATATTTTGGGTGGGTCCTCAATTAATGAAGTTGGAAAAGATTTTTTTTATATCGATTTTTCTGTTTCATTTAATATTCAAAATTTAATATTGACCGATTTATCAAACATTAATATTATACCTTCACATTTTGGCGCTGGTTCTGCGAGGGGCGGTGCTAATAACGATACATTATTCATATGCGGAGGAGTCGGAAATATCTCAGCTGATAAAGTTGAATTGGTCTACACCTTTAATACGCAAAGTAGTTCATGGACCACTCCAGTAACAACTGGTGTAATACCTATTCTTTTCGATGCTTCAATAGGAATTATCGACTATAATGGAAAAATGTATTTCTGGGACGGAATTGGTGATATTATCGCCATTTTAGATACAAAAAATTTAATTTGGGAAACGAGGAGTTCAATTGGTGCACCAAATATTGGATTGAAAAGTACTGCCACATTATTACCTGATAATAAAATAATTTATATGGGTAAGCAAGTAATTTTGTTATTCTGACATTATTTATTATTTTCTTATTTGTCATTTTTATTTTTATTTATTACTTTATTATTTAGATAGTAGTTCCAGTAGTTTAATACAGGTATTGAAATCAAAAATTAAATTTAATAATATTTTTTTATTGAGTTTTTTTTTTAGACAAAAATTTGTTCTAGCTAGTTTAATTAAGTAAAATAATTATTTATAATAGGTTTATATATATGATACAGTAAATGATACTTGGAGTACGAAAGTAAGTTAATATAAATGTAAATGTAAATTATCAATTAATTATAAAAAACTATGTACTTAAACATTTTCATATTCAAATAAAGATAACTTCAGGGATAGTGCCTCCTAAGAGACTAGGGGCATCCGCGGTTCTTGGTATGTATTTAAATTAACAATATTGTCAAAAAAATATAGTATTTAAATTAAGATACAATATTATTTTAATAGGATTAGATGGTCAAAGAGTAATCATTTATGGAGGTTCTATTACTGAATCTGTAGATTCACTTTATGAATTAAATTTAATAAATTCTGAATGGCGTATTCCGAAAACTTCTGGGCAAACTCCAGCGTCCCGAGAATATCATAGAGCAAATGTAATTGGAAATTATATGGTGATAACATTTGGTGAATATATTTTTTTAATTATTCATTTATTTAATGTTAGTCTAATATAACTATAACCAAGATATATAATTTTCAATAGGAATGTTTTATCAACCACCTGAAAATGATATTTTATTACTTGATATTAGTAATGTCAATGAATATATATGGACAAATGAATTTAATCCTTTTCCATCAAGTATAGTAAACACATCGGCATCAGTACCCAGTGATTCTCCCTCTCAATCTGTGACAAGTCATAATTCAAATATTGTTGGTATAATTATAGGATCTTTGGTTGCTGGTGCTTTATTATCCTTTGTAGGCTCCTATTTATATAGATGGAATAAAAATAGGAATAATAAAAATGAAAGTAATTTAAACAATAATCAAGCTACTAATAATAATCAAGCTGAAAGAATTAATTATTATCCTGGACAAGAAATAATACAACCCCGCTCCAGCTCCAGTAATTATTAGGAGTTACAACCATGGACGAGGATCAATTCCGATTGCTAATTATGAAATACAAGAATATAAATAGAGATTCATGATTTGAGACAATTAATTCACAAAGTAATAGTAAACAATCCACTAGTTTCTATGGGAAATAATTAAATATTTCATGCATAATAATTTGAACATTAAGCAATTATTTTTAAAGAGTTATATTATTGAATTACGTCTTGTAAAGAATATAAACTTTAAATTTTACATCATATTAAATTTTTCTATCAAATAAACATAAATAAAAGATGAACATTCTTATTCAATCCCTCCGGATTACATGTACTTAGAAATTGAAATTCATTTAAGTGTAAATCCACAGTAGAATTTTTAGAAATATATTTTTTAATATTTCGTGTGACAGATAAATGATCATTTCGAGAAAATTTATTTTGGTAAAACATAATCTTTAATTCCGTTATTTTTTTTTTACGAACCCTCCGTTCTGGAAAGGTTTAGTTCAGTATAGTGAATTCGGTATACCTTGGTAATTCGGGCCAAAAGATGTAATGCCGGCCAGAATTAAACCTCCTGTATCACTATTAATTCTGGCTAGACTATAAATATGGCCCGAATTACTATTTAGTCACGTGACTGTTCGTTATGGAAGTATATGATTAATATATCTGAGCTGTTAAAGTGGGTTCGATATACATTTTATTGTAAAAATTCGTTATAACCAGAGTAATTAAGGAAATGTGAACGAGTTAAAAAGAGTACAGACGGTATAATTAATAAAATTTTACTTATAGAATTAATGTAATAAATTGATCCAAGAAGAAAAATCACAAGATCACCAGATTGGACAAAACTAGCAGTTACCCGTTGCTCTGCACCGGGACCAATGAGTTTGTTTAAATAGAAAATTTTAGTATTATAATGTAATACTAAGTAAATTAAAGATGAATACAGCAGTTTTTTGTTTATAATTATAATTAGGAATTTAATATAGGTAATAATTAGTTAACAAAATAATATGTACTAAATTATAATTATAATATTAGAATGATATAAATTATATTGGGAATTGGTAAACATCGCCTGGGTCTTCGATCATGTGGCAGATTTATCATATTTATTTGTTTTTCAAATCTCATTTTTATTATAGGTTCAAGGTTCGTTTTCTCAGTCTCGAGGTATTTTTCTTTTTTTCTTTTTATTTTTATTTCTAACTTATATCCTTACACTTTGTTTCTTACTAACTCTAATTGATTTTTTTTTTTAGTGAAAACATTAAAGATTTTCAAAGTCCCAATTTCATCCAAAAAATTACTCATTCAAATTTTTTATAAGTATTAATTAATAAATAGTAATTACAAAATTTGACGTTCAATTTAAAATTTAAAAGTATTAAAACATATTGTTATTTTCAAATACATAAAATCAAATATTTAAACATTAAATTTTTATGTTGGTAAAGCAAAAAAAAAAGATGATAAAATAGTGAAATTAATTACATGTACTTATAAACTAAAAAATACCGTCAGAGTTTATGTTCAAGAAAGAAAAATATAATAAATCAGTTTATGCTTATCTTGTGGATCGGTGATATAAGGTACCGGGCAATACAGAATTTGTATGAAAGGAAGACGTAAAGAAAGAAAGAGAAGACCTAGAT